GGGAAAAAATATACACTTGCCAAGTGACTCAGCAATCTCACTCCAAATGACTCAGCAATCTCACTCCAAAGAAATTTATTGTATTAGTTTCCTTAGTAATGCCATAACGAATTACCAGAAACTTAGCGGCTTAAAACAACAGAAATTTATTCTTTCTGGAGGCCAGAAGTCCAAAATCTAGATGACAGCAGAACTGTACTCACTCCAGAGATCGAAGGGAGAATCCACTTCATCCCTGTTCCAGTTTCTGACAGTAACTTGTGACTTTCTCTACCTGTCTTCACATCACCTTTTCCTCTGTGTGTATCTTCTCTGTACATTTCTTATAAGAACATATCATTGGATTTAAAACCCACTTGGATAATCCAGAATGGTTTCATTTTAAAATCCTTAATTACACTGGCAAAGACCCTTTTTCTCAATAAGGTAACATTCACAGGTTCCATGGATCAGGACACGGACATAGCTTTTTGGGGACCCCGATTCTTAAGCCTACTACACTTATCGTCACACAAAAATTTATACTCAAAAGTTTATAGCAGCTCTATTCATAAATGCTGACAACTGGAAACAATCCAAGTGCCCTTCAACAGATAAATGGATTAAAACATCCCTGTAATGTAGTACATCCCTACAATGTAATACTGCCCAGCAATAAAAAGAAACTATTCATACATGTGTCATGGATAATCTCAAATGCATTATACTAAGTAAAAGAAGTCAGACTCAAAACTACACACATTTCATTTGTATGACATTCTGGAGAGGCAAAACTACATCCAGAGAATCTGAATAGACATTTGCCAAAGAAGACATACGAATGGCCAACAGGTACATGAAAAGGTGCTAATTCAACATAACTAATTATCAGAGAATATGCAAGTCAAAACCACAATGACATAATACCTCACACCTTTTAGAATGTCTCTTATCAAAAAGACAAGAACTAACAAATGTTGGCAAGGACATGGCGAAAAGGGATCTCTTGTTTACTACTAGTGGAAATGTAAGCTGGTTTAGCCATTATGAAAAACACTATGAGCTTTCTCAAAAAACAAAAGACAAAACTACCACATGATCTAGCAATTCCACTTCTGGGTATTTATCGGAAGGAAATGAAATCACTAACTCAAAAAGATATCTGCACCCCATGTTCCTTGCAACATCATTTACAATATCTAAGACATGAAAACAATCTAAGTGTCCATTGATGAAAATATATATATACATATATATATAATGCTTTCAAGGTTTTTCCCTGTGTTAACTTCTATATATACATGTACATATGACTATTATTCACCATAAAAAAAGAAGGAAATCCTGCAATTCGTTACCACACAGATGGACCTTGAGGACATTATGCTAAGTGAAATAAACCAAGCAGAGAAAGACAAATACTGTATGATATCACTTATATGTGGAATCAAAACAAAAAGCAAAAAAAACAGACTCATAGAAACAGAGAACAAATTGGTGATTGCAAAAGGCAGGGGCAAAGTGGGTGAAGGTGATCAAAGGGTGCAAATTTAAGTTATAAGGTGAATAAGTCCTGGGGATGTAATGTACAGCTTGGTGACTAGAGTTAACAGTACTGTGTTATACACTTTAAAGTTGCTAAGAAAGTAGATCTTACAAGTTTTCATTACAAAAAAAAAATTGTGTAACTGCTGTATGTGATGATGGTTGTTAGCCAAACTTATCGTGGTAATCATTTTGTAATATAAACATATATCTAATTATTATGCTATACAACTAAAACTAATACAATGTTATATATAATGTCAACTATATCTCAATTTAAACAAATAATTATATTTTTAAAAACTATAGGAATGGAGAAAATAACAGTTACTACCAGGGTATAAGGTCTGAGGGGGCAATTGACTACAAAGGAGAAGAATTAGAGACTTCTGGAGAGGGATGAACCTGTTTTGTACCTTTATTGTGGTGACGATGACATGACTCAATGTATTTATTAAAACTCATAAAACAATATACACACAAAAAATGGAATTTTCTCTATGCAAATTTAAAATCATGTGTTTAAAAAAAAAGACACTGGGGCTGGGACTCTACAAACCACATTTTCGTTGGTCAAGTGAATCTCCACTAGGCTCTGCCAAATGGGAGTCCTAAAATAGAGATAAGAAGGCATGAAGAAAAAGAAACTTGTTCTTTCCTATTTTGATTTCTGTCTCTATCAGCATCCACAGAATTTCTTTACTTTGGCCAGGAAGTTGAGTCCAGTTTCCAATTTTGTTTTGTTTTGACACACTTTTAGAAGAGCCTGTTGCACCCTCTCGAAGATACCCTTCTTGGTGGTCTGAGAATGCTTCCCAAGTTTCTAGATCTAATAATTCCACCTCTTCCCTTGTTCCCCTAGCTGATGGATGGCAGCTGCTTTCTTTGCCTTCTAATTCTGCATTACCTCTTGTTCTCTTTTGCCTTTTCTGCACTCTACTCTATTTCTTAAATTATTGTGTCTGTTAAAATTACTGATGTTTTTTGTTTTACTGACTAGAACTTGACTGACAGAAAGCCAGTCTTTCCTATACCCTACAAAGCCCTCCGTGATTTGTCCTCAGCATTACTTCTCTGACCTCATCTCCTACTTCTCTTTCCCCTCGCTTACTCTAGATCTGGTTCACAAGAATTATAGAAGATAAAGGAACATGGTAAACCTCCACACAGGGATATAGTCACCAAAATTCAGAATGTGGGAAAGTCTGGACAAAGAACCTAGTTTCTCCAACAAATAAATTGCAGGAGGAAAAAAAAATGGAAGGGGAACTTCTAGATTAGAAGAGTCTTAAAACATATCAATGTGAAGACTTAATTTGAGCTCTGATTTTGTATGTATTTTATATATGCATATGTATGTTATACATATATAACATATATGTATATGTGTACACATATAACACGTTTGTGTGTTATACATATATATAACTGAGGAATTTGAACCATGACTAGATGTGAGATATTAAAGAACTAAGAATTTACTGTTAATTTATTTTAGTTGTTAAATGGGATTGTGATTATGTTTAAAGAGTACTTCCCATTTAGAGATACATGGGGAAATATTTACAGATATGTTAATGTAATAAGTAGCAGGGGGAATAAATGGCTCATAGATGTAATAATATTAATCATAAATAGATCATTGTTGAAGCCAATTACACATCTTACTCCATTTGGGCTACTATAAAAAAATACCACAGACTGGGTAGCTTATAAACGATAAATATTTATCACAATTCTCAAGGCTGGGAAGTCCAAGATCAAGGCGCCAGCAAACTCCGTGTCTGCTAAGGAGCCCACTTTCTCATTCACAGCAGTCTTCTCACTGTGAGGAGCAAGGAAATTCTCTGGGGGGCTCATTTTTAAAGGCACTAATCTCATTGGTGAGGGGATATCCTTAAAACCTCATCACCTCCCAAAGTCCCCACCTTTTAATACCATCACTTTGGTGTCAAGTTTCGATGTATAAATTTGGGGGCAGGGGACACAAACATTCAGCCAATAGCACCTAGCAATGGGTAGAAGAGATTTATTTTACTATATAAAGACTGCGTTGTTTATATGTTTAAATTTGTCCATTTGTCAAAGAATGGCTCACAGGTCTCTGGAAAACATCAGGAGCCATCGTTGAGAAATATGAAGTACAGTAGTTTCGACTGTAAGCTCTGGAAACCAATACCCGAGTCTGCTACCATCTATCTGTGTGACCTTGGACTTCACTTCTCTGTGCCTCTGTTTCCTCAAATGTAGAGTGGAAATAATAATAGTATCCACTCCATAAAGTTGTCATGAAGATTAAATGTATTCATAGGTGTAAAACACTAACTTAGAACATTGTCGGGCCTATAGGAAGCACTCAAAAAATGTCAACTATTATTATTATTACATAGAAAAACAGATTGAAATAAACTACCATGATCTTGAAACACATGTATCCAAAATACGTTTTTAATCTTGATGAAGTTCACAAATGGCGCAATATTGACATTTCCTTAAACGAATTATACAATCATGTTCTTAGACAACAAGACATAGCATCACTGTGACCCCAGAGACCACAAGAGGCATGTCGCCCTGTGGTTTGGCAAAGCTGCCATGATCACAGGATAACTCTCAAAGAACCAATTTGCTACCGGATAAGCTAATGAGAGATGCCATCGCATTTACTGCACAGAAAATCTAATATAAAAAAGATGCATAACAAATATGGATTTAGCTTATTTTGCATTCAATTTCATTCGTTTTGCATGACAAAGGTGCTTTGTTTTTCGGTATCTATTAGGATGCAAACATGTATGTCTTCCATGAGATCTTCTCACCAAGTGGTTGTCAACAGAAGTTAATAGCAGCGGTGAGTTCAGCTTCACGGTAACCTGAAATTTAAAAAATAATAAGAGAAAGAAAAAGGAGGAGAAAGAGGAGAATAAGAAGGACAAGAAGGGAATAATCACAATTATTATTGAAAAGAATGTGAATTTACAGAAATGCTTCTTTAACCAAACAGTATTTACAAATGACAGATATGAGATGTAAGTAGGCTTTTGAAGCAAATGATATCAAAACAATTCAACAGTCACTATTAACGTTAGCAGTAGTATTATAATTACAGCCCTATGGACTGAACCTGTGAACACTGATCAAGGGTTGAGGGCTTTCTGGGTTTATTAATGAAGACTGTCCCTGGCTTAGGTTTGCAAAGCCCTCTCTTTCTGAATCCAGCAAGCATTTTTGTTTGTTTTGTTTCATTTCTCAGAGAGATGACATTGCATCTCTGCAGCCTGTCTTAGTCTTCTGATTTCAAGCTGAGTCGTAGAAGGAACTCACTACTTCAGGAAGAGAATGCAATTGGAGAGAAGGACCTGAAGAACCTCCCAAGTTCAGTGGGTTTCAAACTGTAGATGGTAACCTCCCAATCCCTTCCCCTCCCATCCACCAGTATGAGGGCAGTCACCTTCTTCCTGGAGTGGCTTAGTGGCTCAGGCCTGAAGTTCTCTGCGGCGACGGCCAAAGGTTTCGGAGCCCACGTTGGTGGGCACGAAGTTGCTCTTCACCACACCCCCAGATCTGCTCAGCAAGTCTGCCAGCCGATGAGTCACACAGGTGGCAGTGTTGCAGGTTCTCTTCTGGGCAGTGATGCTGATTTGCAGGATGGAGAAAGAAGAGAAGTCTTGTCAGTGAGAGGCTGGGGGCAGGAGCCTACCCCATGGGACCTTCGTAAAGGAAATTGTAGCTCTTTGACATACCACTTAAGAATAAGTGTTTCTCCTAAATGCAATTACCAAAGCTGTTAGGAGAAATGGCCTGGCAGGCTTTGCTAGGAGCCCTGCCCAAAGACCTTCATGAAAAAAACCCAGTTCCAAAGCATGGGGCATGTACTGAAACCCTGCATTTATCATCCCTTACATATAATACCTTTGGGACCAGGAAGGTTGCTCTGCAAAGGCCCAGCCCCACCCCAAAACATACAAGACTAGAGAAGCCACACCCCAGCCATGAGCACCAATAAAATCACTTACCATAAGAAAATGAAAATTCCCTGAATTCTTACCTGGAAGAGGCTCAGAGAACAGAGTTTGCAGAATCCTTTCCCAGCAGTGCTTACCTGCTCCTCAGCACACCTGCTCCTGATGCTTGAGCTGGTTCCCAAGGACCACTCACCAAGCCCTGCATCCAGCTTCCCTGAGGCTAAGGCTATTTTTAAACACAAGCCCTGGGTACTCTCAAGCCTTGGACAGCAACCACGGTAATGACCACTACAGTGCAAATCCTTTTAGAAAATATGTTTATTCATCAAGGATGAGGCATGAGGGATGAAGCAGGAATTAGAGGGCTCTGCCATGAAATCCTCTGGAATCTCAAGAAGCTTCCTTCACTCTCTCTTATCTCTAACCTGGTCTATAAGTCCTGTTCTCTCTCCTCCCATCCTGAGGTCCCCAACATTCTCTATCATAAGCAAAGCTACCAATACCAGCTTGAAGAGCAATCAGAGTGAAATCTGCATGCATTAAATTCATCGATGGGAGCAAGAAAGGAAATCAGGAGGGAGTGAAAAGAGTTCAGTTGGCATCCTGGGGCACCCCAAAGTGGGGGTAGGGTTTCCTCTCCAAGCTGCTGGCTATATCCCTTTTCTTGCCAGGTGTTTCAGCCCCGAAGCGGATGCCAGAGAACGTATGAAAGTTGCTCAGGTCCTTCGAGTATGTGCTCAGCACGCAGGTACTCAGATTACTGCACCGCTTAGCTCTGGAGATGTCCAGGCTGCAGGGAAAAGACATGCCAGACAATACCATGCACCAGGTCTACCTTTGGAGGCAGTCATGCGGAAGGTTATATCAGCAAAGAATCCTTAGAGCCAGGGCAGGAGGGGCAGACAAGAGGGCGGCTCACACATCCTCCATTAGAACTCAGAGGCATGCTGAGTCAGGGCAGTGTGGGGAAGGGGTGACTTTTGCTGGCCTTCGTCATGCTGCTCAGTCCTTCGTGCTCTGCTGAGAGGTTGCCAGGGCAGATGCAGGTGCAGCCTGTGCCTCCGCCAGGCAGTGGCAGGGCCACAGCAGGGGCTGCTGTGGGCTCCAAGCTCAGGATGCACAGGGAGGAGGGGCTGGGCAAGGGTGCTCTCCCCAGCCCCGTGACAACATGCACATCTCCACAGATCCTATGCATCTAAAGGCCCCAGACCTACCTCAGGCACTGCTCTACCTGAGCCACCCTCTGTAAGGCCTTCGCGTTTATCTTGCAAATGTACAATAAAGGCTCCTTGCAGTGTGAGAAAACAACACACACAGCTTAAATTTTTAAAACATCCTGAGATATACTGGGTCTATCTGCTGCCTTCACACTTACCGGTATTATTTCATTCAATGCTGGAGGTCTCCCCGGTAGGACAAGACCAATTCCTAGAGCAAGTGATTCCATATCTCCTCATTTCATTTCCTAACAGCTTTCTGAAATGGATCTTTCTGATGTGCCTAACCACAGTCTCTCCAGCTGCCCTTGGACCTCTGTCTTCCATGGAGCCTGAGAATGGCTGGGCTCCAGGGCCTGGTGAACAACGACAGCCTGCTAGACTCCTGGCCAGATGTTTATTATCCTATCTCTCTAGGATATGTCCTCCTGCATATGCCAGGGTGGCTAAGGAGCCTTACCTGGAGCCCTCTGTCTCCTGCTCTTGGTCCAGCTCATTGGTCTTCCTCTGTACATAGGCATTCACCAGTGCAGCCAGTAGGAGGCGCCCTTCCTTCTCACTGAGTGGAGCAGGGTCTGGGAGGCTCTCCAAAGACGACCTAGGGAGGTGAAGCAAACAATCCAGGCTCTGAGTCCCTAACACCCTGCTCAGGCTTCCTGCTCTCTGTGACTTCCCTTGAGGATGCGCCCTTCCCTCCCCATTCCCAGCAGACAAGGCTCCAGGCCAGTGTCCACCTTAGGGTGTTGATTCACTGGGAGCCTCTCTGCTGTGACTTCAGAGGCACAGAACTGCTCGATCCAAGGGGCAGTGGAAGCGGAATGCTGTAGTAGCTTCAGGCCGTCTCACCTAAATGGTGCCGCCTGGAGGCCGCCTGCCTGGCACAGGATCAAGGTGCTGAAAGCCAAGAAGAGAGAGGACTTCCAGAAGCCCATGATGCCTCTCTGTAAAGGGAGAACGATGTTACCGCTGGACTCAGAGCAAGCACGGCCTGGAACGTACAGACCTAGGTTCCAGTCTCGCCTCTGCCAAATTTGCCTTGTGACCTCAGGCTAATTACCCCCACCTCCTCATGCCTAGGTTAGGTTCATTTGCCAGATGGGCTGCTGTGAATCTCAAAAGATACATTGCGGTGGATGGTGTGGTAGCGGGGAAACAAATGTCCTGGGGTAAGGGTGGGGAGATTCTGTTTCCGTTCTGTGAAAAGCCTGAGAGAAGCCACAACGTGCACATGCACACAAACCCACACCTTTTGCCCTAGGCAGAAACCAGGCGCGGACCCACCCTGCTGTAACTGCTCTCTCATTTGCTCTTGTCTTCTCAGGGACTGAGAATTTAATCTAGGAGCACCTTCCCGTGGCTAAATTTACCACTAATGCAGGGGAGAGGCAAGCAAGAAAGGTAAATTGGAAAAGCAGTACTTATCTCTCAGTCTGTGGATTTGAATTTGGGGAAATTTTTAACGTGCCAGTAAATGGGGTCTCAGGTCTCTGCTTGCTGGAGCGCAGTTTAGCAGCAGGTACTAGGCGCCAGCACCCCGAGGTGAGCCCACTGTTGTAGTCGGCTAACTGCAATGCCTCAGGTCCACGCCAATGCCCCAGAGATGCTCGTGGGCTGGGAACCCCATAGAGGAAGGCTAAGAGAACCGTCCCGGGAACCAAACGTGATCCCTGAGGACATGGAGCGCACAGGGCATTCCCAGACCAAACTCAAGCAAGATTTTGCACGCCGACGGGCACCAGCGCCGGGGCCGTAGACTCACGGATCTGGGTTCGCGGAACTTCCAGAGCCCAGGCAAAGCCTTGGAGATGCTTGGGGTTCCACTGGTGCTAGTTAGAAGAAAATGCACTGACAGCCCCAACCGCCGCCCGCCTTCTCCCCAGCGGGACAGAGAGGTAAGAGCACCTGGCTGTAGGTGGGCCGAGATGGTCGTGAGAGGCAAAGGAAAGGCAGGCAGGCAGGTAGGCAAATGAGCAAACTGGATGAACTAATCCAGAAGCAAGTTACCAGAGTCATAGAGTGGGAAATTCCTCACCTGGCGACTTGAGGTGCAGGAGAACTCTAGTAGCCGGTCCCCCGATGGACACAACGCCTGCTGTGGGCGTCTTCCCTGCGGAGCTCTCGGCTCTTATTCCATTGATAGTGGGAGGAGGGGGGTCCCCACGAGCCCGCGCGGCCAATCCAAAGTGGCCAGGACCAACCCAGCTCCGATTGCGTCATTGCTCCGGCTACCCGCACCGGTCCACTAGGGAGGGAGCCATCATCTCAGACTGTTGTTTGCAATGAGGTCATTGCTTGGAGATCGTGAGGGCTGGGAGGGGAATGGAGAGCTTTCGACGTCCAGAAAGTGGAGACAAGTCGAGGAGAGTTTGGTGTAACTAAAAAAGTGAGGGGCCAGAGCATCTCTCATTTTTTTGGCGCCTGAACTCTGGGCTCCAACCTCTCCTGCCACGCCTGAACCCCTGCCCGGCCGCCTGGACTCTCGTGAGGTTAATCAGTAGTTCTGGGTTCTAAAGGGATCTCTCCTGAAACAGCCGACAGCAAAGGAGAGGGATAGTGGGGGAGAGGGACACTGAAAGATGGGGTACTCCTGAGGTATCCTCCCTTTCTTTTGCTCCCATCTCCATTGCCTTCTGGCTCCCTGGGCCCGGTAAAGAAGTTTTGCTTCCAGTCTGGCAGCCAAACCTCATTCGCCTCACTCCTCTGGGACGGATGCGAGTGGATGAGAGGACTAGGGAGGGAGTTAAGCTGGCACTGCCTGCACAGAGGCTAGGCAAGCCTCTAGTATCCCCGAATCCTCGACTAAGGGTTTAGCATCCCTCCCACCCCTCCC